CTATGTAGAAGTTAATGTGTATGGTTGAATGCTATAGCAATTCATTATATATTGATAAACTATTAACAGTAAAATGGGTAAAAATTTATTTTATTATTTCCAGTACTGGATTATTATGAATATCCTCTTCTTTCTCTAAGTAAGCTTCTCTATTGGTGTATATACAGGAATTTAATTGCTGGATTGTAGAGTAGGATTATGTTCAGTTTTAGTAGACACTACCACATAGTTTAACAAAGTGATTGTATCAATTTTATACTCCCACTATATAGATAGCCAGTTGCTCCATATCCTTACCAACATTAGTATCACTAATCATTTTTTAATTCTTTTTTTTGGGGGGGTACTGGGGATGTTTTTTTAACTTTAAAAAAATTTTTTTGAGTTGTAGATAGACACAATACCTTTATTTTATTTACTTATTTATTATATGGTCCTGAGGATCAAACCCAGAGTCTCACACATGCTAGGCAAGTGTTCTATCACTGAGCTACAGCCCTAGCCCTGGGTACTGGGGATTTAACCCAGAGGCACTCTAGCCACATCCCCAGCCTTTTTTAAAAAATATTTTGAGACAGGGTCTCACTAAAAACAACAACAACAACAACAACAAAAAACCCCTAAGTTTCTTAAGGCCATGCTAAGTTGCTGAGGCTGGCTTTAGTTTATTGTGATCTTCCTACCTGAGCCTCCCAAGTCTCTGGGCTTACAGGCATGCACCACTGCACCGGACTACAATCAATAATCAATTTAATTTTAGCCGTTCTGGTGGGTACGTAGTGTCATTTCATTGTAGTTTTAATTTTTAATTTGCAAAGCAAATCTAGAACACAACTGGCTGCTTTTTTTCTTTCTGCAGGCCAAACTCATGTTCACACTTTCAGGTTTGGAAAGGTCTCAACTCTTTCGAAATCAGATTTTTTCTGAAGTAATGGAAATGTAGATTATTATTTTTTTTTTTACCTTCAAAGGAATTCCAGTTTTATAAGGCTCCCTCCTAGGGCCAGGAGTCTCTTGGCATGGCCCTGGAGTAAGAGACCAGAGAATTCCTAGCAACAGAACTTCTTTCCTAGCAACACCCCCGGGCTCTGAAGGAAAGAGCAAAAGTAAAACCGGATGTTGACTGTTTTGCCATAGTAACGCTTGCAATTCCGGAAGTAATGCCAGAGGAAGAGGAAGTGAGGCGCACCGAGCACCCACGTGGATTCTCTGCGTGTTTCTGCGTCTCTGAAACCCGGTTCCCTGGGCTTGCTGGGAACCACGGTTTAGTCAACATGGGTCGCTCGGGGAAGTTGCCCTCAGGTGTGTCAGCTAAATTGAAGCGCTGGAAGAAAGGCCACAGCAGTGACAGCAATCCCGCCATCTGTCGCCACCGCCAGGCTGCCCGCAGCCGCTTCTTCAGCCGGCCCTCAGGTAACCGGTCCCTGAGACCCGAGCAGGGCCGCCTCCTTGTTTTGAACTGGCCTGAGTCTGGGCGGGTCCGGGTCCTCTCGAGGTCCGGGGCCCAGGTATAGGGACTTTCACGTCTTAGGTTGTCTGATCTGAAACTCACTGTGAAGGCAGCCCTTCCGTTTCACAGATGCGGAAACTGTCCACAGTGGAGAAATGACTTGTCCAGGGTCCGCGGGTGTCGGAGTTGGGACGCGGGACTGACTAAACTTGGGCGCTGGGGCTCAGTGGTGGAGCGCTTGCCTCGTATGTGTGAGGCACTGGGTTCGATCCTCAGCACCACGTAAAAAAATAAGCAAAATATAAAGTTATTGTGTGCATCTACAGTTTTTTTTTTTTGTACTGGGGATAGAACCTAGGGCCTTGTGCATGCAAGGCACAACTAAGAATATTTTTAAAAAGTAAACTTAGGTGGCTCTCCAGAGAGGCTTTCATCTTTATATGTTCTCCCGGCCTCTGAATTTAACTCCCGGAAGACTCCCTGGACGCTTATGCCATCCGTACAAGGGAACTGTTGGGGAGGGTTCCCTTTCGCATTGGCTTTCTAAGTTTTAGGCACACCGTGGGCCGCCAAGGCAGATCGTGTTCAGAATTCAGTCGGGTGGGGGACAGGGGACCGGACCAGGCTGCTTTGTTTCACAGGGTTGTCCGTTTTGTCTCCAAAAGGAGGTTTGGGTTGAAGTGCGGGGCCTTACCTTGTGCCTCTGGTTCTCAGGCAAGAGCGACCTGACAGTTGATGCTGTGAAGCTGCACAATGAGCTGCAGTCAGGATCCCTGCGCTTGGGCAAAGGCGAAGCCCCAGAGACGGCCATGGACGAAGATGAGGAGCTGGCTCTTACCCAGAAGTCCTCGGCCACCTTCCTCAGTGGCCTCTCTGACTGCACAAATGTCACCTTCAGCAAAGTACAGCGCTTTTGGGAGTCCAACTCAGCGGCCCACAAGGAGGTAGGGAGGCTGAGAAGGGTGTGGGAGACGGGCTCATGCGTTTTATTTTCCTCCAGTCTTGGTGACAGCAGCTGGTTTCTGAATGATGTGTCATCTCTCCTACGCTTTGTGCCCTTACATATTAATTCCTCCTAGGGCAGGTTTCACTTTCCACTTTTTGTAAGAACATTTTCCCTGCTGAGTATAAAGTTCTGAGGAATATTTTCCAGACATTTGTCTCCACACTATACCTAACCCAGGACATTGTACATAGAATATTTTCAAGAAACATTGAAAATATGTCAATTTGGGCTGAGGATGTGGCTCAAGCAGTAGCCCGTTCGCCTAGCATGTGTGCGGCCCGGGTTCGATCCCCAGCACCACATACCAACAAAGATGTTGTGTCCCCCAAGAACTGAAAAATAAATATTAAAAATTCTCTCTCTCTCTCTCTCTCTCTCTCTCTCTCTCTCCTCTCTCCTCTCTCTTTAAAAAAAAAAAGAAAGAAAATATGTCAATTGTTGAATTAATTAATGCTGAGTGAGAGTGATTATAAAATGTCTTATTTAGCAAAATTAAATTTTATTTACCTTTAATTCTATTTATACTTTAAAGTTATGTGTATCTGTAATTTTCATTGTTTAAATGAAAAATGTTGAAATTTAAGGTGATGTCAATAGAATAAAATGTGATAGTTATTCTCCCAATTTGACTCTTCCCCAATGGCTACTGTATATGGGTCATAAATAAATGACCTAGCCAGGCATGGTGGTCTGTGCCTGTAATCCCAGCAGCTGGGGAGGCTGGGGCAGGAGGGTCATGAGTTCAAAGCCAGTCTCAGCAAAAGCAAGTGCTAAGCAACTCAGTGAGATTCTGTCTCAAAATACAAAATAGGGCTGAGAATGTGGCTTAGTGGTTGAGTGGCCCTGACTTCAGTCCACAGGACCAATAAATAAATAGACAGCACAGTGATGTAAAGGGAGCCACGTGTATAATTGAAAATTTTCTAGTTAGCTACATTAAAAAAAGAAACAGGTGAAATTAATCTGTTTTTTTCCCCCTCAATTTTCAGTGAGTATTGAACCCAGGGATATTCCACCACTGAGCTATACTCCTAGACCTTTTGTTTGTTTTTTATTTTGAGGCAGGATTTAAATTGCCCAGGATGGCAATCCTCTTGCCTCAGTCTCCCAAGCAGCTGAGATAACACATATGTACCACCATGCCTGGAAAATTTTAATATATTTTATATAAATATATTTAATTTAATTTATTATTATTATTTTAATATACAACCAATATTTTTTAAAATGAGCTTTTTCCACCCCACCTCTAAGAGAGGGTCTTGCTGTGTGGTCCAGGCTGACCTGAAACTTCTAGGCTTTAGCAGTCCTTCTGCCTCACCTTCTGAGTAGCCAGGACTATAAGCATATGCCAATATACCTGCTTCAAAAAAAATGAAAGGTACATTATTTTTATGATATTAAAAGTGTGGGGCTGGAGATACAGCTTAGTTGATAAAGGGCTTGCCTCACATGCACAAGGCCCTGGGTTTCATCCCCTGTACCACACACACACACACACACACACACACACAGTGTGTAACCAGGCATGGTGATACATGTCTGTAATCCCAGTTGTTTGGGAGACTGGGGCAGGAGAATCTAAATTCAAGATCAGTCTGGGAAACTTAGCAAGACCCTGTCTCAAATGTAAAATGAAAAATAGAAAGGGCAGTGGATATAGCTTAGTGGCAGAGCACTCCTGGATTCAATCTCAAAACA